AACAACCCTGAGATATTTCACCTTACACCTATCAGAGTGGCTAAGATCAAAAACTCAAGTGACAACACATGCTGGAGAAGGTTTGGACAAAGGGGAACCCTCATCCATTGCTGGTGGGAATGTAAACTTGTACAACCACTTTGGAAATCAAACCTGGTACTTTCTCAGACAGTTGGGACTACTGCTTCCTCGATATCCAGCTTTACCACGCCTCGGCATATATCAAAAACATGCTTAAGTACACAACAAGGACATTTTCTCAACCATGTTTGTAGCAGCTTTATTTGTAATAGCCAGAACCTGGATTTAACCCAGGTGTCCCTCAATGGAGGAATGGGTACAGAAATTGTGGTACATTTACACAATGGAATACTACTCAGCAATTAAAAACAAGGAAATCATGAAATTTCCAGTCAAATGGTGGGATCTAGAAAAGATCAACCCGAGTGAGGTATCCTAGAAGCAGAAAGACACACATGGTATATCCTCACTTATAAGTGGATACTAGACCTATAACTGATAGGATAAACCTACAAAAATCTGAACTCCTAAAGAAGGTAAACAAGAAGGAGGATCAGGGTAAGAGGGTCAATCTTTACTTGGAAAGACAAAGGTGAAGGACATTGGAAGCAAGAGAAAATGAGTAACAGGACAGAAGCCTACCACTGAGGGCCTCTAAAAGACTCTACCTAGCAGTGTATCAAAGCAGACGCTGAGACTCATAACCAAACTTTGGGCAGAGTTCAGGGAATCTTATGAAAGAAGAGGCAGTTAGTAAGACATGGAAAGGACAGGAGCTCCACAAGGAGAACAAAAGAACCAAAATACTTGGGCTCAGGGGTATTTTCTGAAACTGATACTCCAACCAAGGAACATTTATAGATATAACCTAGAAGCCCTGCTCAGATGTAGCCCATGGTACCTCAGTATCCAAGTGGGTTCCCTAGTAAACGGAAGAGGGACTGTCTCTGACATAAAATCAGGGCTGGCTCTTTGACCCCCCCATTCCAAGGGAGAAACAGCCTTGCTAGGACACAGAGGAGGAAATTGCAGCCAATCTTGATGAGACTTGATAAGCTAGGATGGAAGGGGAGGTGGCCCTCTCGTATAGGTGGACTTGGAGAGGGGCATAGGAGGAGATGAGGTAGGGAGTATGGGATTGGGAGGGAATGATGAGGGGTGTACAGCTGGGATGGAAAGTGAATAAAATGTAATTAATGTAAAAAGTAAAAATTTAATTAAAAAATATCTGCTTTCAGGGTCCTGTCATTGAATGACTGAACAATATCCACCTTAAGGAAAAATAACACCCCTTCAAAAGGAAATAAAGTAAGATTCATGATCTAACACAGTCAACAATAGTCAGCATACCAAGAACAAGAAAAGAACTGAAATAAGAAAAGATAACAAATGAAAGCAATGATATGAACCAAGTGTTAGTATAATCGAAGACAGATTGTAAAACAAATAACCATAAGAAAGCTGCTTTGATAAATAATTAATACCATCTTTAAACAAATAAAAATAGACAATCTCAGCAAAGAAATGGTTGCTTTAAAAAGTAACGAAATAGCTGAATACAGTTTCACAAACCAGCAATTTAAAAACACTATTCCAAGTACTTATCATGAGAGCAGTATCTTTAACTAGGATATTTAGTGTAGAAACTTGTCAGTAAAAATATCCTCAAGGAAATGTGCATGGTCCTCTGAATTTCTGTTTCTATTCTAGAAGGTAGAAGTAGTCATTTCCTTAAATAAATTAAATTAAAATAAGTAAGTTATATTGGTGATAATCATTTATACACAATGACACACAATATTTTCACAGATGTCAGATAATGTTCTACCATAGCACTACATTTAATGCAACCATAATAGTTCGATTTTGTTTGTTTAATCCTGGCTGTGTTACAACTCACTCTGTACACTAGGCTGGTGTGGAACTCAGAGAGGTCTGCCTGTCTCTGCCACTTGAGTGTTGGGACTAAAAGTGTGTGCCACCATATGGGCTCACTTTAAAATTTTTTATCTGTTTTGAAACAGGATCTTGCTGTGTTGACAAATGTGGTACTCTTTGGCCCAGTAAATGCTTGAAATTGTCACCACTTTGCCTTGATTTCCTTTCTGAGTAGGTAGAATTAAAAGCCTGTGTGACCAATCCTGGCTTCTATGTTCATAGTTTCTCCTCAATTTATCTCAATTTTTAAGCATATTCTCCCTGTTTTGATCAGAGCCAAATCATCTGTTATCCAGACTATCCACAATTGAATCAACAATATAATTCTGTCAAGTCATTTGTACTTCTCCTCACACAAGAGTTACTTCCAAAAGTAAAATGTGACAATATCTGTAAAATGCAGATATTTCGTTCAAGAAATATTCAGTCTATGATTTTTCATCTTCCCACATCTTCAAGAAATTAATTTTTCTTACTTTATATCCATCAAATTTTACTGACTTTTGAGATATCTATATTAACCTGGATTGTCTTCCATGTATATTTTTACCTCAAAATTTACAACTATTTTTTGTTATATATATATCTATATATCTATATATCTATATATATATATATATCTCACATTTATATGTCTAGAATCAATGCATACATTTTAATATTAGCTCTATTTTTATTTCTTCTCTTAAAATAATTTCATATGTATATGTCCCTTATCAATATATCCCACATACGACTCAGTGTCTTAACTGCCTAATTTTTGAAAGCACTCCAGAAAGGTATAAAATCATGAGTTGAATAATATGTAATACAAATGCACATTCCATACAAAATATAATTTAAAGTTTCTGGAAATGTCAATCAAGATCAACAATTGGCAAAATTTTATCATAAAGTAGGTTTGAGAAAAGCACACTGAAATAAAGAAAATCATAAAATTAGCAAGAAGTTGTGGGATTCATAATGTATTATATGAAGTAAGGTAAGCCAGATCCAGAAATACAAAATTGTACATTTTGTGTTACATATTGGTCCTGCTTTAAATATTTGTATGTTTGCATACAAGTGGGTATAAAAATGAATATAGTCAATCAAACTAGATAGGAGAGAACATGAAAGGAATCTGGAGGTGCTGAGGAGGGAAGTGAGGCAAAGAACAAATATGACTTAAAAGTAGAAATAAGAGTATTGGATGTTGGAGGAAGAAGGGAGAAAAAGGAGAACAGATTATATAGATTCAAACTAATTTCTCTCTTTTGCAAACAACCTAACAGACTGCTTAAAATATTTACTGTAAAGTAGTTAAATTAATGATGAGTTCTCAAATCATGTTCATTATGAAAAGTTTTCTTAAAGTATTATTCAGACCTCATGGCCAAATAGAGAAATATTGATTGTCAGATTTCTTTTTACCCTTCTTGATCAGTAATTTAATACCATTGCTTTTTGGTCTTTATGGCTTCAAAAATTATTGGCAAGATATGATACTCTTTCAAAGATATGCTACTTCCATAAAACTATTTTTTTGCCCTAGGTGGAAAAATATCCTAAGTGCTAATAGATTGATATAGTGATGTGACAATCTTCAGAAGTAATTCTAGAAAATTGAGGTCTAAGTTGAAGTGGAAGAGTATTTCTGCTCTAGCTAAATAACTTAGAGAACATTCACAGAGGATAAAATATTTTAAATTAATTTTTATATTAATTACAGTTTATTCACATTGTATCCTATCTGTAGGCCCCTCCCTCATTCCCTCCCAATCCCACCCTTCCACCCTTATCTCCTCCCATGCTTCTCTCCAAGTTCACCTATAAGGGAGGTCCTTCTTCTCGTCCATCTGATCCTAGCTAATCAGGGATAATCAGGACTGGCTGCATTGTCCTCCTCTGTGGCCTGGCAAGGCTGTTCCTACATCATGGGGCGGTAATCAAAGAGCCAGCCCTGAGTTCATGTCAGAGACAGTTCCTGTTCTCATTACTAGGGAACCCATTTGGATACTGAGCTGCCATGGGCTACATTTGTGCAGGAATTCTAGGTTATTTCAATAAATGGCCCTAGGTTGGAGTAACAGTCTCAGAAATGACCCTGTGCCCAAATATTTTGGTCTTATTGCTCTCCTTGTAGAACTCCAGTCTACTCCAGGTCTTACTAATTCACCCTTCTTTCATAAGATTCCCTGCACTCTGCCCAAAGTTTCGTTATGAGTCTCAGCATCTGCTTCGATACACTGCTAGGTAGAGTATTTCAGAGGCCCTCTTTAGTAGGCTCTTGTCTTGTTTCCTGTTTTCTCTTTCTTTCAATGTCAACCCCTTTTGTCTTTCTGAGTGAGGGTTGAGCATCTTACCCAGGGTCCTCCTTCTTGCTGAGTTTCTTTAGGTGTACATATTAAAAGTGTGTGTGTGTGTGTGTGTGTGTGTGTGTGTGTGTGTGTGTGTGTGTATGTACATGAGTTTAGGTGCCAATGGAAATTAAAGGAAGGTGTCACATGCCCTGGAGCTGCTATTAGAGGAAGTTGTGAGGTACCAGATAGATATCGAGGCAGAAACATCAGGAGTTTAAGGCTAGTCTCTGCTACACTGAATATTCAAGGACAGCCAGAGTTACATGAGACCATTTCTTAAAACAAAAAAAGAAAAAAAATATATTTTCAAAATGTCTTCTTTTATTATTAACACATTACAAATTACCTGTTGTTGAAAAATAACTCATTTAAAATATTAAAAGAAGATGAGAAAACAAAAGAATTAAGGTCAGTGACTACTAAGTGCTGTAAAGAGAGAGAAAGAGAAAAGAAAACGTATGAGGACATATATAGTACTAATTTTATAATTTAGAATCAGATGTGCTTTGATGGCCTCATTGTCTAATTTCTGGCCTTATCAGTTTTAGCAAATTTTCTTCTCTGCATTTATACTTTTGCTTTCTTCCACATATCTACATTCATATTGTATTTTAAATGATTATATCAGCCATGTGTATTATTTTTCATTTAAATCCAGCAAACCTTTCTATTTGGCTAGAGTCAAAACTTCAAGCACATGTTCTCTTCTGCAGCACATATACTAAAACTGGAACAAAAGAGAGAAGATTAGCATGGCCCCTGCACAAAGATCATATGCAAATTCATGAAGTGTTCCATATTTTAAAATATCTAATAAAATAAAATTTCAACCAAAATTAATCAAAAAGATGAGGAGGAGCACTTCATGCTCATTAAAGGAAAAATCCATTAGGAAGACATCACAATTCTGAACATCTATCCCCTAAATACAAGAGCACCTACATTTGTAAATGAATCATTATTAAAGCTGAAATCACACATCAATCTCAACATCTTAATAGTGGGAGACTTCAATGTTCCAGTCTCACCAAGTGACAGCTCATCTAGACAGAAGCTAAATAAAGAAATGATGACATCTACAAAGTCCAAAATCAAATGGACCTAATAGATGTCTACTGAACTTTTCACCCAAATTCAAAAGAGTATACTTTCTTTTCACCACCTCATGGAATCATCTCCAAAATAGACCATGTAGTTGGTCACAAGCCTCAGCAGATACAAGAAGAATGAAATAATCCCTAGTATCCTATCTGACCACCATGGACTAAAGCTGGACCTCTAAAACAACAGAAATAACAAAAAGGATACACAAACAAGGAAACTAAACAACTTGCTACTCCATGACATCTGGGTTAGAGAAGAAATTAAACACTTCCTAGAGCTGAATGAAAATAAAGGCACAACATACCCCAACTTATGGAACCCAATGAAAGCAGTTCTAAGAGGAAAATTCATACCACTAAGTACCTTCAAGAAGAAATTTGAAACATCTCATTCAAGCAATCTATTGGTTCACCAGAAGCCCTAGGGGGAAAGAAGAAGAAGAAGAAGAAGAAGAAGAAGAAGAAGAAGAAGAAGAA